GATTGGCTGGGAAGGCGATAGGGTTGCCAACTCCAGGTGGAAAATTCCTGGATATTTGAGGGATGGAACCTGGGGGGGGGGGGGGTTGGGGGCGGGGGGGGGGGGGGGGCTGCCCGCCCTTCCTTCTCCCCCCCCCGGAGGATGTTCTCCTTGCAGCGGCCTCGCCGCCTCCTCGGCCTCCGCCCTCACCTGGCCGTTGCCGCCGCCCCCTCCTCGCCCGGCTCGCTCTCCGCTCCGTTCGCGCCGCTCCTCAGGCAGCCATGACAGCAGCCGGCAGCCGCAGGGGACGCAGCGCGCATGCGCCCGGGCGCCCGGCGCTGCGAGTCCTCCCGGCAACCGCTTCCCACACGCGAAGGTTCCGCCCGAGGGGGCGGCCCGCAGCCTGGGGTCTGGCTGGCACAGTCCCGGGGAAATAGGCGAAATGAATCAAAAGTAGGGCCTCGGCGGCCTCCCCGTTTCCCAGAATCCTGTAAGTCCGTTGCATTCGGGTTGCCCTATTTTGAAAAGCAAGAAAGAGGACGCCTCCCCCCCCCCAGTGACTGCTTCCAGCAAGAGCTCACGGTGACAGATAGATCTCATTTTAAAGGGACCTTCTGTTGAAGGCAGGCGTGCCAGCCTCCCGGTGGGACCTGGGGATCCCCTGGAATGACAGCTCATCTTTTTTTTTTTTAATGTAATCATTTTTTATTTATAACTTTTAACTTTAAAACGTATAAACAATGCTATACTGTATATGAATAACGCAAATGCAATATACTTAAGAAATGTAACGTTTGCTTCATGGTAGAAATAACCATTCAAATATACAGCTCATCTCCAGACTGCAGAGATCAGCTCCCCTGGGGTAAATGGATGCTTGGGAGAGCGGATTCTATGGTATTGTAGAGAAGAAGAAGAAGAGGAGATTGGATTTATACCCCGCCCTTCACTACCCAAAGGTGTCTCAGAGCGGCTTAGAAGAAGAAGAGGAAGATTGGATTTATACCCCGCCTTTGACTACCCAAAGGTGTCTCAGAGCGGCTTAGAAGAAGAAGAGGAAGATTGGATTTATACCCCGCCTTTGACTACCCAAAGGTGTCTCAGAGCGGCTTAGAAGAAGAAGAGGAAGATTGGATTTATACCCCGCCTTTGACTACCCAAAGGTGTCTCAGAGCGGCTTAGAAGAAGAAGAGGAAGATTGGATTTATACCCCGCCTTTGACTACCCAAAGGTGTCTCAGAGCGGCTTAGAAGAAGAAGAGGAAGATTGGATTTATACCCCGCCTTTGACTACCCAAAGGTGTCTCAGAGCGGCTTAGAAGAAGAAGAGGAAGATTGGATTTATACCCCGCCTTTGACTACCCAAAGGTGTCTCAGAGCGCTGCATGACCTGCATGACCCTTCCAACTCTAACATTCTATGTGGAGGAGCGGGGAATCAAACCCGGTTCTCCCAGATCGGAGGCCGTGCTCCTAACCACTACCCTAAACTGGCAATCCTCAGCAGCACCTTAATACTCAGCCCCAGGTTGCTATGTAGCAGCCTGCTGTCCACCTGCAAGGTCAGGAATCTTTGACTGCTTCCATGTTTGGCTGCTGCCCCTCCACAAGAACAAAAGCAAATGCTGGGAGAACGGCTGTTCCCTCTTATTCAAGCCATGCACCCCACTGGTATGCTGTCAGAGATTGACAACTTCGAGCTCCTTCACATGCTTGAGTGTCCTGAATCTCTTTGTTCAAAGGTTGATGAAGCTGTAGCCGTACTGCAAGCCCCACCAAGCTAAAAAAGCTGCTCAGAAAGCTGTTGACAATCCAGCAGGTGTTCCAAGTGTCTAATATGATCCGGGACTGCGCACTATAACCGCTTCACGGAAGGGAAAAAAATCTAAACATGGAAAAATGATTAAATATTGAGAAAAACATAGCAAAAATATAAAATGAAACAAAAAAAGGAAAGAAAACTTTGGCCCCGGTCACACGGGCTGGAAAATGGGGGGAAGCGTGGCTGTTTGGCCTGGGGCAAACTAATGCGCGACTGCACGATCAGACGTCTGGTTGAGGTCCCGTCGAGGTCCCGTGGATAGGGGGAGGTGCCGATCACACGATAGGCAAAGAAGCAAGGTGGGGCGGCAAACAGGGTTGTTGTTGTTGTTGTTTACTTTTTTAAACTGAAGTGTGCGCATGCTCCGTTGGGTGCTTGTGCGCATCCCTGGAGACTTGGGGAAAAAATGACCTGTTTGCGAGGGGACATGGGCGGGCACCGGATGCCACCGGAAATGCAATCAGACGCCCGCCCTTGCCCCGCAGTTTCCGGAAACTAGTACCTCGGAGGTACTAGTTTTTTGCCCCGGATCTTCGGCGGGAAGCCTCGGGTGAGCCACGGGAGCTCTATGCTTCCCAGATGTGGCGGTGTGATCGCGCCCGGAAAATCAGCCTATCTTCCGTCTCTGTAGCGTGGCTAATGCTCCGTGTGACCGCAGCCTTTGAAGCTTATGTACACAACAAGCGCCGGACTAGCAAAACTGTTAGTCCTCGATTACTGATTGATTTAAAATGCAGAAAAAAAATAGTAAAAGGGGGGAAAACAAATTTCAGTTTTATCAACCTGGGGAAAATAATTTAAAGCACAGTACGAAAAATTTAAAGCATTCCTTTCTTTAATTTTGTCAGTTACTGTGGGGGGGAAAGCTCAGAGTATCACTACTGTTATAGTTGACAGTACAAACTGACAGCTGAACACAGAACCATAATTTGGATTATAAAATTCTGGCTTTAATAAAAAATTCCTTAAACACTGAAGAAAAAAAAGAGAAAGGAGAGAGAAAAAAGTTTGGATTTATACCCCGCCCTTGGCTACCCGAAAGAGTCTCAGAGCAGCTTACAAACTCCTTTCCCTTCCCCTCCCCACAACAGATACCCTGTGAAGTAGGTGGGGCTGAGAGAGCTCTTTCCAGAACTGTCCTTGAGAGAACAGCTCTATAAGAACTTGTGACTGACCCAAGGTCACACCAGCAGCTGCATGTGGAGGAGTGGGGAATCAAACCCAGTTCTCCCAGATTAGAGTCTGCGCTCCTAACCACTACACCAAACTGGCTCTGTACCCCAAACTGTACTCCACTGAGGTCCCATTCCCCTCCAGGCTCCATCCCCAAATCTCCAGTAGTTTCCCAACCTGGATCCGGCATCTTACCCCCCATCTCACACAGCCACTGTGTGAGACAGGATGCTGGACTAGATGGATTATTGGTCTGATCCAGCAGGGCTCTTCTGGTGTTCTTATGAAGGCCTCAGCCTCTATACCACGTTGTTGACTGTTCAGAGGAACTGGATGGTCACTGTGTGAGACAGGATGCTCTACTAAAGGGACTTCTGGTCTGATCCAGCAGGGCTCCTCTAATATTCATACGATCCTTCAGATACTGTAAAGTATGAAAGTGTAATGTGAACCTGCTCAGAGCTTCATGAAAAGCTAATGATCTCCACAAAAGACCCTTCTGCAGAGGAATCGGTCCCAAACCTACTGGTAGAGTGATGTGCCAGGCACGGCTATCTCTTGTGTGTTATTTGTTCACCTGTGTGGACATTATAGGCTTGCCTGAGAGGCCCGTTACCTGCCGCCAGCAGATCGGGCCCCGGGGGGAACCCCACCCCAAAGCATGCGACGTGTCCGGCGTCTGCACGTCACCCGGAAGTGACGCAGGCGCGTTGGGGGCAGGGCCACGGTCATCCCAGGGAAAACTCTATGGTTTTCCCTCGGATTATTGTGGCCTTGCCCCTGGGCGTGGTTGTGTCACTTCCGGGCGGACTCCCAGAGCGGTGCTGGAGTCCCCCGCTCTACATGCAGTAAGGACTTGGCAATCCTAGGACATTACATGGAAAATTATGGCCAGAGAGGATGCAGCTCAGTCCGTTTTAAAAAGACAGGGGCAGCTGATGCTCTGACAGTAACATCATAACACAAGGAGATAATGTGAGCTAAAGGATAAAGGGGACATTAAAAGATTTAAGGGATTTAAAGGGCAAAGGCATTTGCTGGTAAGGCTAACCGTGGCTGGTCATGGAAAAGGGAGGCGGGGAAGAGAACAGAAGGAAGAAACATGAAAAGGAATGACATTATAACATCCCCCCATTTTAAGCATCTGGTGTCTGCCAAGAGCAAGAGCTGAGTGGCAGGAGGCAGCTCGATGCCCACCTGACAGCAGTGCTGATTCTGTGAATGTAGGAAGATCACGAGAAGGGAGGGCAGGAAGGGTTGCCTCGGGGCTTAGTTTTTGTGGCCCTTTCTTACACGCCCAGGGAAATGCCGATCGCCACTTTGGGCTCAGGAAGCCATTGTTCTCCAGGCCAGTTTGGCCAGGGATCCTGGAGGCTTTTTGCCATCTTCTGTGCTTGGAGCAGGGATCACTGGCGGTGTGAGGGGAGGTATTTGTGAATTTCCTGCATTGTCCAGGGGGATGGACTATAACCAGGGCTATTTTGGGGCAGGAACGCACAGGAACGGAGTTCCGGCTGGCTCCCAAGTTGGCCACGCCCAGCAGGAACTCATTAGCATAATAGGCCACACCCAACAGCAGGAACTCATTAGGATTGGCTACAAATAGGGGTGTGTGGCCTAACATGCAAAAAGCCCTGGGTTTTGACAACAAACAAGGTAAAGAGAATAAGAAGCAATAGGTGGGTGTGGCTGGATGACCAAACTTCTGGTAACATGGGAGTGTGGCCTAGTATGCTAATGAGCTGCACTATCAGGGGTGTGGCCTAATATGCTAATGAATTCCTGCTCTTGGGTATGGCCTATTATGCTAATGAGTTCCTGCTGGGCTTTTTCTACAAAAAAAGCCCTGACTATAACCCTGGAGGTCTTTTCCAACTCTATGATTCTATGATTCTATGATTTCTTCTTCTTGGTGCTTGGGGGGCAACAATGGGAGGACTTTCTGGCCTTGCTGGTGGACCTCCTGATGGCCCTTGGGTTTTGGCCACTTCTGACACAGTGTGTTGTGTATTCACTCTATCAAAACCCATGTTAAGCTTAAGACCTCAGCCGGATTCTAAGCTGAAACAACCCCATTGGCTGAAGCGTGTTATGTAACCAATGAAATGTAAGAGTCTGTGCTGGAGGGAAGACAAATGATTGGATGTTATCTCTGTAACATGATTGGATGTTGACTATGGAGGGCATACTTAACACAGAGGGTTGGGTTGGATTGGATGGGCCACTGGCCTGATCCAACATGGCTTCTCTTATGTTCTTATGTCTGGGGCAGTGATACTCTGTCTTCTTGGTGCTTGGGGGGCA